CCACGGCGGCGACGGAAGCTTCAGAACCCTGGAGGCGTAATCGCGCGCACCCCGCACCCCCCTTCCTTCCATTCGTAAACTATCCCTTGGCGTATCCTTTTCCCTCCGAGACCCCCCTGCATTCCGGCGTGGATCAGCGAGGTTGATAAGGGCACTTGATCTGCCGCTGCGACCCCGATTTGCAAGCAGCCGGTGCCGTCCTGCCGTAGCAACAAAGCGCCGTTCTTTACATGCCGAAGACTCCGCCTCCACTTGTCAAGCGGATACTTCTCATTTCCCCATCTATTATCCTTCAAGAATTTCGCCCATTACTGGCCTTGCCTACCCCGTTAGGCTGATCTAACGCAAACTAGTCAGAGGTCTTTGCGCGATCTAGGACGCAGAAAGGATCGTGCTGATACAGAAAAAGAAGTAGACATAGAGTGAGGCAGTGGAGTTACAAGAGGCTACAAAGTAGTAGTGGTGGCGATGTAGTCTCACTGAGAAATGACGTTTAACTTGTGTACTTTCGTAAGAGAAAACCAATCAAGAGGCACATTCTGGCTTTTCATTCGATTTCATGGTTAATGCACCTATTCCTTTCCAAAAGTCTTTGTATGATACGTTCAGTAAGCAATGTGCTCGTTCGCACCCCTGTCCACATCCTTTTCATAGATGAAGAAGTTTAAAGAAGCCACTAAATGTCTATCATTTATCCATTTCATGTAACTTTCCCGTCCTGCATAGACTAAACTGAATCAGGGGAGTAATTACAAGGGAATGTCGCATAACTCATTTTTGTCAATTCATGCTCAATTATCCTCTCCTGTTCTCACTCGCATCCAAGTTTGTCTGTCCATCCGTGCATCTTTATTTCTACCCATTTGTTGGATGTCAGTTTGATGTACTTCATTTTCGATCGACGATGAAGTCACACGCTGAACCGAATGTACTAAGATATTTTGGATGCCGTTACATGCTGATGGCTAGCATGAGTATAATGAGCAACAAATGTTGGATTTAGATCCTCGGGACGATGGGGTAGTTTGCTTAGATAGCCTCTAAACGCTCACAGCCGTGCCTCATACTGTAACCATCATTTTTACTGATAAATCTGGGTAGCGTGCCCTCTCGCGTGTGCGACTGCTTTCTCACCGTCCTTTTCGGGAAAGTCGGAGTTGGGGCGTAGCGCTTGCAGTCAGCTTGACTCCCGCTGACATCGCGTTTGAAATATTTCGGTAGGCTCACGAGACCCCCCCAGAAGATGGGGCTCGAAGTATATTGCACAGATACCAAAACACAGGGACATTTGGCACAAATGCGCTCCTCTCTCACCTGGATGGAACTCAAGTTAGTGGTGCCGCCTGTATTATCTTCAGCGGATGACTAACTCTTGGAACACCACACATTGGTTCAAGCTTCTGTCTCATTCCACGTGCTTCCATCTGCTGCTTCATTTTGCTGGGTACTCAAGCACTTAACAGTTAAGTTTCTGCCAATAGTAGCGAATATTCGAGTCCCAGGAAGCAGTTCAGAAGAC